GTGGTCGGCGTTTCAATGGGATGGTCTTGAGTATCTTCAAATTTTATTTCAAGATTTAAAAGCAGAGGTAAATGGGAGAAGGCCGTCAGTGGAAGAGTTGTTGAGCGTGATAAACAACTCCAGCGTAGCTCTCAGTAGAAACTTCAGTGCCGAATCCTCAAGTCTTTTCGGGAAAGAAAAGACAACATCTGTACAGCAATTAGGTAAGTGTGTATGAATTATAATTTTATTATTTCATTGAACTTTCCTGTGAAATGCATTTTAATGCTTTGCAAACTGCGGCTTAGTGCGACCTCAGTAGTCAGCACAGCATTAAATGTTCATGAAATTTACACTCTGGAAAGTGATTTATTCTCTGGAAAGTGATTCCAGTCTCAGAAGTCGAGATTGGAGAAATAGTTCCCAGTTTAATAAAGTTATTATAATTCATAAACAGTAGTTTGTTTCTTTTACAGACCATCTCCATCTGGAAATTGCCTGTACAGCTCTGTGTCTTTGATACTGGTAGGCGATAACAGTTTGGTGCAAACTTTAAAAGTTTTGACATCTATAGAGCTTTTTATTGATGCACCATTTTATACTAATCATCCCCATTTTATATTTGCTGTAAATCAGCATGCTGAGTTATTTAGCAACCTCAACAACCTTCTGCCTTTGTGTGTCTCTATGGAATGCCTGGTGCCAAAATGGATGATCTAGTGCATCAAGAGGCCATTTTGAATTGTTTTGATGGAAAATGGTCGTAATTTCTTTGCATTTTAAGTCTTTCTTCTGCTTTAAGTAGGAATATCTTTTCTTATCATCCTGATTGTGGAAAACTCAGGTATAAAGTTTTGTTTCATTGCATGGTAAAGCCCCCTGCTAATGTTATGGAAGGAATGCATGATCTTCACATTTTATTTTGCTTTGAAGGTATTTTGGAAAGTTGGTACGGTGGCCCACAAGTGCAAAACACAAATGCAAATTCAAAACACAAACGCAAATTCAAAACACAAACGCAAATTCAAAAACACAAACGCAAATTCAAAAACATAAACGCAAATCATGAAAGCACGAACACAAATTCAAAACACAAACGCAAATTCAAAACACAAATGCAAATTCAAAACACAAACGCAAATTCAAAACACAAACGCAAATTCAAAACACAAACGCAAATTCAAAACACAAACGCAAATTCTTAATTATTTATCCAAATCCAAAACGAGCTAGCGCACCACAAATTTAAAGTCAACAAGGATAAGTTTATTAATATTATTGTTGCAAAGTATAATACATTTCTTAGTGCATTTTTGTCTTTTGGCCTAGTAAAATATAAAATTATTGATATGGAGGAAGCGATCCGTTTTTCTACGGAAGAAATTTTAAGTACAAAATGATACTGGAATGTTTAGAAAAATATCATGGTATCAAAATATGTAAAAGAACGCTCATCACCAGATTACAGGAGTATGGTTTGGGAAGAAGAAGATACAACGCGAATGAAGAACAAGTTAGGGAATGCGTTCAAAGAGAACTACATGAAAATGGCAACCTCTTAGGATACAGATCAATGTGGAGGAAACTGCAATCAAAATATGGCATGCGTGTGTGCCATTCAATATTTCAAAATATCTTAAAGGTGCTTGATCCTGAAGGTTGTGCAGTAAGAAAAGCTCATAAGCTGCAGCGGAGGGAGTATTTAAATCCTGGTCCAAACTTTACCTGGCATGCCGATGGGTACGATAAACTCAAACAGTTTGGGTTTCCCATTCATGGCTGCATTGATGGGTTTAGCAGGCGAATTATGTGGTTAGAAGATTGTTGGAACAAATAACGACCCTCGGGTCATTGGAGGATTATTTCTTGATTGTGTTAAATCCCAAAACGGTTGCCCGACAATTCTACGAACGGACAAAGGGACTGAAAATGGTATAATGGCCACTGCTCAGTGCTACTTACGTCGAAACCACAGAGATCACTATAATGGGATGAAAGCACATCGCTATGGATTGTCACACAGCAACCAGCGTATAGAGGTGTGGTGGGCCATGCTACGTCGGTCGTGGGCATCGTGGTGGATTAATTTTTTTAAAGATTTGGTAGACAGAGGTATTGTTGACACAAGCAATATACTTCAGCTGGAATGTCTTTGGTTTTGTTTCATTAAAGTGATGAGGGATTCCCTAAAGGCTATTAAGGAGTGCTGGAATGCCCATTATGTGAGAAAATCCAGATACCACACTGCTCATGGCATTCCTGATCAACTTTTTTTCTTGCCCGAGTCAGTTGATGCGGTTGATCATAAGGTAGAGTGCCTGCAACTTGATATCCAAGCGATCGAAGGCAGCGTTGCCGTGGAAGATGACGAAATACACAAAGTACATCAAGAATATTTTAATTATAATTTTTCAATATTACAACTGCAGGAGCCAACAACATGGAACGATTCTCTCAATAATTATGAACTGCTGATTGCAGCAGCCCAAGTGTGAACCAAGAAAAAACAACGAAAAAATCTAACAAACTAAGTGAATTCATATTCCAACGTAGTATAAAACAAGTAGGGACCTTAAGCAACAAGAACACGAAAGAAAAACCACTTAAAAAACTTAAAACATAGGCATATTAAAAACGCGTAACTGGAAAGCAGCTCTTAAGCTGACCTTTATCCTTACTGGTAAATGGGAGTACGAAAGTACAGTTAACGTCCAGGACGTCAACATTATTGTTGCTTAAATTGCCTAATATAAGCCATAGAATTGTATAGGAAACACTTTTTTACAATTGGAGGAAATTGCTTGCAATTCCATGTCATAAGCCAAAATTTATCAGCCGAATGTATAAAAGCCACAAATTTAACCGCCAAAAGTTTACGAGGTTTCAAATTAAATTTAACGTTAATTGCTTCAATTGCCACCTATTTAAGTGTTCTTTGTTAAAATAATATGAACTTTACAACAATATATATATAAACTTTACATATATAGTGTGTACTAAAAGTTTTAATAGCTAATATGCATGTTATAAGCAATATGAACAAATAATTCTTATAAGACTTCTAAAGATACAGAAACTCAAGTAATTCAAAAAACATAAAAGAAACATGTAATATTAAACAACTTCTGCCTTATACAAAACGTGGCTTGGGATAACAAACACCTTAAAGTGTATATGAAATGTCACCACCGTCTCCAATGTTTTTATGGATTATTGTTTTTCATGATTTGATAAATTTTTTAATATATTTTTTAATCGCAAATTTTGAAAAGAAAACAAAAAAAATTGCATTCAAAAGTATCCTCGTTAAGGTAATTTTTGTCAACCGGAAGTTATGCGAATGCGATGTCACAGTATGGATCAAATTACTTGCGCATCTATATTCTTATAAGCGTGTTTAATTTAAATGAGCTGTTACTGCTTTCCAAACGTTTAAACACAATTTCATTGATGGAAGCTGAATTAAAAAAAAAGAAAAAGCATCGTGGTGGTTCTTACTGTGTTGCTGGAGGTCCTGGCAACATTAGTTGTACAAATAGGGCATATACAGAGGGAATTTCGATGCACAAATTCCCGTCAGAGAATCGCAAGCATATCCGTGCACAATGGATACGTTTTGTTCAAAGACATCGACCGATGTGGCAACCCTCGACAACATCTTGCCTGTGTTCTGCCCATTTTGCGTCGGATTGTTACACACAACAATTTAAAAATTAAACAAAACTTACCGTAAGTTGAAGTTTGATTGTAATTCTATGAGTTATTGGACAAGGAAACTAAGGAGTCACGTGAGATATGTGCACGCAGATCGAGTGTTCAGTCTTTAATGCAGCGAGAGATTTCAATTTGTGAAACGTTTAGGGTGGGAAAAAACCAACCTCGACAATAAAAATTCAACTTCGGGTGGGTGACTCCTTAGTTTCCTTGTCCAATAACTCATAGAATTACAATCAAACTTCAACTTACGGTAAGTTTCGTTTAATTTTTAAATTCTATTTCGTCATTGGACTACGTCAATAAGGAGTCACGTGAGATATTCAAAGCATGGAAATCTCGAGCATAATTTAAGCAACAGCCCAACTCTTTAATTTCAAAATTTAAGAATAACAATGTCTAGCTTAACCACTATGTGACAAAGCAGAATTCAGCAGAGCTTGACCAAAATTGTTTTCCACTTGTAATGGTTTGTTGTAAAATTTATTGAATGTTGTGGCATTAGACCATCCAGCTGCTTGTAAAATGGTTTGCACATCCATATTTGATCTTTTTGCTGCTGATGATGATGCAACTCTAGTACTATGTCCTGTGAAATTGCCAATTCCAGCTTTCTTTAACACCTCTTTGAGCCACCGAGATATTGTGTCTGTTTTTACCCCTTTGTGTGGCTGTTGATAACTGATCAGCAGTTGACTGCACTTGCCTCTAAGATTCGTAGTTCTCGCAATATATTCTTTCAGGACCTTAACAGGACAGAGCTGTTCATTTGGTGTGAACGATTTCACAACTAATGGACCTTGGTGTTTTCCAGGTCGAGATGTTTTGAGTAACGTTGTAAAAAGGAAAGTGCATTCATTTTTCCCAAGTCTCATATTATCAAGTGATAATGCTTGCAAAGTTTGGCATCTTTGTGCAGATATCAGTGCAAGAAGCATGGTTAGCTTAACTGTCAAATTCTTTAGAGTTAACCTTTCAACTGGATGCAAAGTTTGTAGGAAATCAAGCACTATTTTTACATCCCAAATTTCTTGATGTTTTGGTAGAGTTGGTCTTGTTTCGTAAACTCCTTTCATAAATCGAGAAACAGAAGGATGGCTACCAAAGGGTACATTGTTTGATAATAACTATATAGATGACAGAGCACTCCTTGCTGTATTAATTCCACTGTAGCCTATACCTTCATCATATAACCTGCCTAAAGAAATTGATGCCCTGTTCTACAGTTGGAGAAAAGAGATCAATTTTCCCTTCACTACAGTACAGTTTCCATTTTGACAAAGTACACTCATATTGTTTTCTTGTGCCTAATCTCCAGGAGGCTTCCATGATGTTGGTAGCTGTTGAAGAAAACCCTCGGTTTTCAAGTTGTTTCCGGATAAGTGACACATCAGTAAAGTCATTTTGTGATGAAGAGGGTGTCTTTCGTCCGGGTTGCTGGGTAGATATAATGTTAAATTGTTTGATGGTAGAACTACTGGTCTTTGAATTAACATTTTCATTAGCACTGGCCACCAAGTCTGTGTGGGCCACTTGGGTACTAGGATTAGTCCTTCTGATTTTTTTTCCTGAATCTTCTTCAAGACCAGACCTATTATGCTAAATGAAGGAAAAGCATAAAACTTATAATTTCTCCATGACATATGAAAAGCATTCACTGCTAATGCCTCTGGGTCTGGATTATATGAGATGTATGATTTGACCTGATAGTTAATACGAGAAGCAAACAGATCAATGTTTGGTGTGAAGTCAAGTTTTTCACACGCTTGTTGAAAAAACTTCTTATTAAGGGACCATTCTGTGTTACGCCTACACTTTCTGGATTCAAAATCAGCTTCAATATTTTCCTTTCCAGGAATACGGGCAACTGTGAGCCAAATATGGTTTGTGATACACCAATCCCAAATAGTTTTTACCAAAGTGTTTAACTGAGGAGAATGGCTAGTGCCCATTTTATTAAGTATAACTTGAACTGTGGTGTTATCCACCAAGACTTGTATGTGTTTATCTGATACAAGCTCTTTGTATGCTTTTAGCCCTAAATACACAGCTAGCAGTTCAAGGTAATTTATATGATTATCTTTCTCAGTAATGGTCCAGAGGCCCCCTGTGGACAAATCATTCACTGCACACCCCCAACCTTGTTTTGAGGCATCTGTGCGAATTATAATTTGTGGTTCTGGCCTATGTATTTGATTGGCAGCTGTATCTATCAAGTTAACCCACCACTGCAGCTCCTCTCTAGCAAGTGGTGTCAACCTCATTAATGCATCGAAATTTTGGGCATTTTGTTTTAGGGCTTCTGTTTTTTCATGTTCTGTCAAACGAAAGTGAAGTGGGCCATACATCACCCCTGGAAAACTGGATATTATGAGGCCTATCACTTGTGCAACCTTTCGAATAGAAAGCCTTTCACATAATAAGAGGTGCTGTACTGATGTCTTAAGCTTATTTGCTTTTTTAGGAGTAAGGGAGACTGTCATAGTAATGGAATTCAATAAAAATCCCAAAAATACTAGACTTTGTGTAGGCCTGAAGACAGTTTTGTTTGGATGGGGTACAAACCCTAGATTGTCCAGGAGTTTGATGGTATCGATGACATTGGAAATGCATTCCTCATGATCATTTTCCCATTAAAAAAGAGTCATCAATGTATGGTGATGACACATGCCCTTGTTGTCTTAATGAGGCGAACACTGGTTTCATTAGTTTAGTAAACTTCCTTGGACAGCAGGCTAGCCCATTAGGAAGGCATGTAAATTTATAAACAACACCATTCCAAATAAACTTCAAATATTTCTGATAATTTGGTGATACTTGAACAGAGTAATATGCATCTTTAAGATCTATCGATGCCATATAACAATTGTGTGTCATTAAATTTACTGCTGTCCAAATAGATTCCATTTTAAAATGCATATATAACACATTCTTATTTAGGTCTTTTAAATTTAATGTTAACCTGTTTGAGCCATCTGGTTTGGGCCTAAGGAAAATTGGAGAGATGAATTCATCTTTTTCATGTATGGAATCAACAATGACCTGTTTGGCTAATAATTGTTGGTTTTCTTGAGCAATTGCTCTATTTTCCTGCTCAGAAAATTTGTTAGTCTTGTAAGTCGTCTGTCGTGGTAGTGAAGTGAACTCAAATTTCTCCCCAGCAACAGTACATAAAACTTCTGGGTCAGAAGTAATATTTTTCCATTCATTCAGTTTTAATGGCAATTGACCTGCTTTAAACGTTTTTGTTTTGCACTTGAAATAATCGATAACAGCAGGCATGAGCTCTTCGAAATTGCTTACCTGTAAATTTTGTAAAACTGAATTGTCTGCAGTAGTTACTGCCACTGCGTGTTCCTCGTCTGCAAATCTTTCTTTGAGTGGAAAGAGGCTTTCGGTGGGTGCTGCTTCCACTGGCGACCCTTGGATAAAAAATGATTACCTCTTCGCTGTCTGTTCTCCGTGCCATTGTTGTTATTTGACCAACTTGTCGAAAACCGACCTCGTCCTTTTGCTTGACTAAATCTTTCTTGGACGGTGGTTTTACTGATTTTGTTTGAGAAACGGATATCATTAAGCCTCGTTTGAAGATTATCTCCAAACAAAAGCGACGTTACTGGCACGTGCGAGGCACACAAACTGCTATAATCCTTATGCAAGTTTGGTTTTATGGCGTCGCCGCAATGAGAGCTCACACAAAATGTGACCTATTAATGCCAACGCATCTGTATTTAATTTCACGAGTTTGTCAGGCTCAGCTGGCAGCTTTTTCTGCCTCACTTGCAGAAGCGTTTCCGTTGACTGAGCAAGAATGGCCCCTACTTTGGCCAGTGATTTCTGAAGTGACGTGGCTCGAAGATCGTTATGTTTTGCTTTGTTATCGAGCTTATCCCAAATTTCCGTGTTTACGCGCGGGACAATCAACTTTTCACAGTTGGCTGGTCGGGAATATTTTTCCATTTTTTCTTTCATTTTTGCCTCGTTGAGCTTTGTAGACCAGCGCTTGTTTATAATTTCAGCAAGTTGCTGGGTTATATCGGGACCGAGGTCCTCTTCTTTGTCGAAATCTTGTGAGATTTCACTTAGCAAAGCGTCATGCTCAAGTTGAGTACATGGGACGTCAGTTGCTGTGCCCTCTGTGGCCGAGTCGGCCGGGGGCTTTGTCGTTTGGAGTGAATTTTCGTCATCGCTGAGGTCTCTTTCAGCATCATCTTCCTCTTGTTCTTCGCATCTTTTTCGTTTTTTCGCTGTAGGTTCTTCGAGACCACCCATAGAGCCACGATTCATCCGTTCTATTGATTGCTCCATTGACGACATCTTCGCTGACATTTTAATGAAAAACTCCTTCATGGCTTTTGGAAATTCATCACTACTTTCAACCATTACTTCTTCGACTTCGTTTTCATTTAGTAATCTTTTCTCTTCGTCGTCAGACGGCATAATTTCATCGACTTCGAATACTTTTCTCGCCATACTTGAAAATATACGACCGTACACTCGTAAAACTACGCGGGCAACTGAACACTTGATCTGCGTGGGCATATCTCACGTGACTCCTTAGTGACGTAGTCCAATGACGAAATAGAATTTACTTTCGGTTCTGATGAATCACGGTCAAGGAGAACCTTAAATGGAGATGCGGTTCCAACCATAGACGTCGCTGGTGCCACTAGCAGTCAAGTAGCCCAAACACTGTCGCAACGTGAACGCAGAAAGGTTTTTATGATTTCTTTTTAATGAATAAAACATTAAATTATCAAAACTCATTTAAAACTTATTATTATGTGATGTTTAGATCTTGCATGATGCAACAGCCTCTATTTCTTGGGCGGCTGAAACACCTATGGATAGCGAAGAAGCCATGACTGTTGAAACCCCACACGAAGGTGATCCAGCAGGCACGCCAGGCAGTCTAAACTGCGAGAAATGGGAGGAGCTCAAAGCTGAAATTCAAAGACTCAGGAGTGCTTTCAGCAAATGCAAGCGACGAAACAGAATGAAGCGGGAATGTATTAAAAGACTCGAAAATCAGCTGAATGAATTTGAGGTGTGAAACTTTTTTGTTATGTTTTGTTATCTAAAATTTATAGCGACAGCTCTATTGTGTCATGCTAAAGTGATCATGATCGCCTTTGTAAATATCAAATATATTCCTTATTGCTGTAAATATTTCTTACCCAAACAAAAGACGAGTTTCATTAGTAAATTCTGTTTGTTTTGTAGGGAACACAAGATATACCAATTGTGACAACAGAATCTGCATCATCTGAACAACTAAAAGATGCCTCTGCCAGTGAAGAAGATATGTTTCTTGATGTTGACTCATCTGAGAGTGAGGGTGAAAAATGCGAGAAAGATCCTGATTGGTCGCAGCTGGGAGAGTTGGTCAGTGAAAGTGATGATGATAACGACGATGATGATGATGATGATGATGAAAGTCAAAAAGAAGAAAATGTGCAAAGAAGGAAAACACGAAATTTTATTCAGTAAGATAACATTTTGGTAACTGATGTAGATATAGGGCGAAATGGTTACGAAAACATTAGGCAGAGTGCTCAATAAAAATCTGGAGCATAATATATTTATATACAGGGTGTATCAGAAAAAACTAGAAGATTTTAAAATGTTCAGAAAACTATCATTTTATCAAGATATCTCAAGATATCTCAAAAATATATTTACGTCTAAGTATTTTAGCATCTTCTGGCTTATCTAAGAGTAAAAACTAGCAGAAAAATTAACCTCGAAAAGCAAGAGAACGGTTTGTAAAAGCCTCATTTTTAACCGCTTGTGCAAAGAAAATGAGACGTTGAAAATCCAAGTTCAGTTAAAGAGGTGAAAGTTTGGAATCTTTTGTGCAATGTATAGCAATTTCAAAACATTTGATAAACATTAGGTCTGACGCGAAATGTTTCAAAATTGGATTTTTTTCCTCATTTACTCCGCTCTCTCGTAACTTTTTACACGCAAGAATGATTACATGCATGAGTGATAGTTGGAATGACATACTTAAACATAACTAACAATGAATACTCTTGTTTTATTGTCTTCATTTAACAAAGAGTGCTCGTAATTACGTCATTCCAACTATCACTCATGCATGTAATCATTCTTGCGTGTAAAAAGTTACGAGAGAGCGGAGTAAACGAGGAAAAAAATCCAATTTTGAAACGTTTCGCGTCGGACCTAATGTTTATCAAATTTTTTGAAATTGCGATACATTGCACAAAAGATTCCAAACTTTCACCTCTTTAACTGAACTTGGATTTTCAACGTCTCATTTTCTTTGCACAAGCGGTTAAAAATGAGGCTTTTACAAACCGTTCTCCCGCTTTTCGAGGTTAAATTTTCTGCTAGTTTTTACTCTTAGATAAGCCAGAAAATGCTAAAATACTTAGACGTAAATATATTTTTGAGATATCTTGATAAAATGATAGTTTTCTGAACATTTTACAATCTTCTAGTTTTTTCTGATACACCCTGTATATATGTACAATTAATAGATTTTTGGGGTTTTTTTACAGGACTGATGAGAAGTTGCCTGAAAAGGAGCCAAAGTTTCTTGTATTTTATTCATGTCTGCTTTCTCTGTTTAATTTGTTTTGCTTTAATTGCAAAGAAGGAAAACCAAAAGTGTCAATGAAGATGAATGGTAAAATGGTAACTGTGTTCCAAGAGTGACAGATGTAAGAGTATTCCTTTTGTGTGGAAGAGTCAGCCATATTTGCTTGGTAAACATCCTGCTGGTAACATTCTTTTAAGTTTGGCAATACTCATGGCTGGTGCTTCTGTTAGCAAGGTGCTACTTATATGTAAGCATCTTGGTTTGATGGTCTACTCTGTTCGAACATTTCTTTACCATCAGAAAAAGTATATGTTCCCTGCTATTGTCAAGCATTGGAAAGCTTACAGCACATCATTGATGGAGTCATTAAAGAGGAAAGAGAACTTGACATGGTGTGGAAATGGGAGGTTTGATTCCATGGGGCACAGTGCAAAATATGGAATGTACACCATGTTTTGTAGCAACATTGATAAATGCATACATTTTGAATTAGTGCAGGTAAAGTTGAAGTAAAAAGATTGAAATCTGTATTAGGATGTTTACATGAATGCTGTTTGCATGATTAATTAAGTTTGGTCATTTTTTTCTTAGGCAAATGAAACTGGTGGTAGCACACAGATGGAGCTTGAGGGTGCCAAAAGAAGTTTCGACCATCTAATTTCTTCAGGTTTAAAAATTGCTACCTTTGTATCTGACCGCCATAAAGGAATTGCAAAATGGATTAGGTTGAAGCATCCTGGTACAAAACATCTTTATGACATCTGGCATGTTATACGGTCATGCATAAAGAAATTGTTGAAGGCCAGCAAGAAGAAAGGGCATGAAATTTTAAAAGATTGGACAAAAGCAGTGCGAGACCATATTTACTGGTGTGTCCATTCAACAAAAGCTAACTTCCATGAGCTGGTCATTGCAAAA